ATTGAATGCATTTTACTCTATATAATTGGTTTCATATTTTAATTTTAGAATCATAAATTTCGCAGTACATTTGTCGAATTAATTGAATTTACGAAATTTTGCAGAGTTTGCAGAGTTTGAAGAATTTGAGGTGTAACTTATTGTTAACTAATAAAGACGAATGGATTGATAACAATCCTACCTTTGACGATCGTAAATAAATATTCCTGCATAGAACTAAACCACCCTAAAAATTGCACCTAAAAAATGGCGAATAGACTGGGAAAACCAGTCTTCGACAGATAGTTTGAGTTTTTTCAAAAAAATTTGCATTACACGAAATTTCAATCCTGGATTTTGATTTACCGGTATTTATAGACATTGTTATAAATTTTTTATGCGAACAAAGTCACATGCTTGAATTCGATTTGCTAAGTTAAATTGACAATCTTTGATTGGTTATTGTTCTATTTTTAGAGCACTATGTCTTTGAAGAATTTTATTTTCCAAATCTAAAAATATCAATATATTATTAGCTTTTTAATATAAAATATAAAGTGTACTTCATACAAACAAGAACCCTATTTTAATTTGAATTAAAAATCGATCAAAAAACGCCGAAGGCTGGCTTTCCTAGTCCATTCTCCAAATATGCATGTACCAGGTTGGGATCGGATGATGATTTGAAAGTTAGGGCGGAGAGGTAGGAATAATGGAACTAGAAACAAGAAAATAATATTACTTACTAATATTGTCACTAGTTTATCATTATTAAATTACAACAAGTCAATAATCAATAATAATTTTTTTCTAAAAAAGATGTAAATTTTGTTACAGGCACGTATTTTAATATTGTAAACTATTCGCTAATTAAAAAACTAAGAAACCATAAAATTCTGAAATTAGGACCTAAGTAAATGCCGCTCTGGCAAATACTTTTGTCGACCTATGGGCTATGAATATCAAGCCAAAATTATATAAATTAGAACCAAAAATCATTTTAGTAAATGTATTTCATGTTATAGAGTTATATTCAAAATATTAATTGCAAAGGCACAATGCATTTTATGGGCATCTATCAATGAACGAGACAATGAAATAGTGGAATAGAAAATGAAGTGAGCGTGAAAATAATTGAAATTAGGTTGTTAATTCAAAATTTTTGATAAGGACTTAATTAGGCATCGTACCATGTAGTGTGCTTATACATCACATCCTAACGTTTTACTAATTAAATTGTATATTTGCAGTGTAACGTGAAGATCAGGTGCAACAATAAATTTTTGGTTTGTTTAAAGAAATCGAGAATTTTGCTTATGAAACCACATTTAATGTTCTAACAAAAAAAATTCCTTGCAAAATTTTACTATATGCTATGTCCTACTCTAATCTCTAACTATCAACCTTAAACTATATCAAATTAAATTAAAAAATTGATTCGATTATATGTACACGGATTTGCGATTATTGTTTATATGGATGCGAGATACGAGTGCATAGCATAGTGCAATGCATATATTTATTCTTTTGATAATTTTATAATTCGTAATAATTCAAATTGATTTAATAAATACAAGCAACGACAATCTAAACATTTATTGAAAAATTTTTTCAACATATTGTTGAGGATTTTAAGAATAACAGTCAATTTCTCGTTTGCATTAAATATTGTCTGATTCTCTATCAATGGGCAAGTTTGCGTTTTGTTTATTTCAACGAATTTTTCATCTCAGTCAACAAACATTTGAAATGGGTCGAAATTAGAGTTCAAACCGCATCACTTTAACGAATAAAAATCTTGTGTACAGAAAGAAAACATACCGAAACGAAGGAGCGTAAGAAAAGATTAAACACAAAAAAAGGTATATAATTTATTGAAATATCACAGAAAACAATCAAATTGTTAAAAATAAATAAACAAGAATGTCGAAATTCAAATTTATTTACATTATTTTATTTATATGCGCTGTATATGCGTTGAAAAATAAAAATTTAACGTTATAATGATTCGAACTTAACCTGATACACATATAATGTCGGTAGTGTAGCAAAAGCTGGCATATGGACCAATATGCGGCAATATGCGGCAGAAACTTAGTACCCTAAAATTTTTTATAGTGGGTCAGGTTATTGGACGCTTCGTGCCGAAAATTTATTTGCTGCTTCAAGACAAAATTAACCAAAAATATGTCTTAGTAGTCAAATGTTATGCTTTCATAAAGCCTTAACCAATAGGAAACAAATGGTTTTGGATGGGATAAATGGGTTTGACGCATAATTGAGTGATTGTTCTGTACATTTGATCAATTAAATTTGGGATTGAAATTTAATGTCTTTTGTTAACCAGCCCATATGGGTAAATCCGTAAATTGTGCTGGTGAAACTGGTGACTATTCGAAATCTGATTGGTTATTTTAGATAGTTACCAGTTTCACCAGCATGATCTAGTTTCACTAGCAACTCTACCCGTTATGAGTATTCGGGAAGGCTTTCTTAATTTCAAATATCGATGTTCAAAACCAAAAAAGTAGGAATAAGTAAAAATTTTGAACAAGAATTGTAATAAATTGGTTTTCATAGTAAATATGGGGTCGTAGAAGTTGTTATAACAGAAAAAGAAAAAGAAATCCGTTATTGGATGTTCCACATTCTATCTGGCTTTGAATTTAATGTGCTTGACAACCTGAGCCCCTTCGGGGCCCAGGTTAGCACATTAAATTCAAAGTCAGGTACTTCTTTTATTTGTCATCCAAAATGATCATCCCGTGATCCTTCGGATCACGGTATTCTCATTTCTCCTGCCAAATAAAACTGTTATTGGATGCTACACATCCAATAACTATTTAATATAAAAATTGTACAACAAAGCATATGCACAATAAATTATCAAATTTTGATAAAAAGTCCCCGAATACTCATAATCAAGGTTTAAAATAGACTTGCACATATCGACATATGCACACTACATGTAAATTTTTGAATTTTAACACTGCTTATGACGGTACGGATTGACCAATTATTGCAGTAGATAACGCAGAATTCTGGAAACTATTTCATGTACATATGTAGCAAAGCTAACTTTTTTCAATGTTACATACCAAAGGGAATTTCAACTGTGCGTATTTATTATTGTGATATTTATTTGTGCTGTGTTATCAATTGGACTAATTGGACCCAGTAATTGGACCAATTTGACCCAGTAATTGGACCAATTGGACATATATCCAATTAGTCCAATTACTGGGATCAATTAGTCCAATTGACAACACTGATTATTTTGACAAATTATAAGCAAACTTATTGATGTGAAAAAAAATGGAAACGGCGACTTTGTTATTTTGGTAAACCCATTTTTCATCACCAAGAAGACGGTAAGCCTGACGACTGAGGTTTATTAAATTAAGGACAAACAATTTATTATCAACAAATTATGGCTCTACGAAACCCTGATGAAGAGCCTTATTTATTGTGACGAAGATGAATCTTATGACATGAAGGAGCAAATCAACCAACCAGCTTTACAAGAAATCAATATGGATACACGCAAGCTTTATGTCCGTTACTATTTTGCTGGGCATCTGTTGTTAACTTGTTATACGCGCAATTGGATGGTTGTAATGGAATCATTTCCTGGAAACTGCGTTTGTAATCTTCGAAGGTAGCCCGTTACCTAATCTTCAAGGGATTAAATAGAAATGAATTCGTAAAACAATTTTCCTGTTAAAATCGCATGGGGTATATATGTCACTAATTCTTCAGAAATCGGAGAAATCATGATCCGTAATGTTAAAAAAGATTAAGAGTTGGTTATGATATTAATGAATAACAATAGCTTTTTTTTGTTGTAATTAATTTTTTTTGTTCTATATAAGCAAAAATTACTGATTCAAAATTATCATTTCATGGTTTAAAGTTAGAAATCGACTATGAAGTTCGTGTGATCATTATTCTTGATATAAAAGATATCCTTTTAAAATTTATTCTGAAACAATAATAAATAAGTTTCTAACAAAGAAAGTTATTGATTTTCTCTAAACACCATTCAATTTTCTGGATAATTTATTGATTACCGTTAAATCTAATCAAATACATTGTTATTGAGTTACCAATCAGAATAATTTTATGTTCGCTTGTCAAAACAGTCTTTTTGAAAACCGAGTTAGGTCAACGTAATTTCCTTGCTTGAGGATCGGTTAAATTGGAGTAAATTCAATATACGAAAGTAGTATTTTTGACATCTATATACGTATATAAGTAATAACTATCTGCATCAAAAAATATCCCTAAGTTCCGAATTAGCCAACCCCTTATTTGGAAAATTTACATCTATTAGCCAATCAAATCGTAAATCTTTAATTGTCGCGTTTGAGATACTTTTCCAAATAAGGAAATAAAAAAATGGAATCGATAATATCAATCAGAGATAAAATACTGATATTCATTGATCTTAAAAAGGAATATATGCATACTGTCTACGTACGTACGTACGTAATTGCATATACTCTTTAAATGCATAAAATATATATGGTTCCTATAATCTAAATGCATACACTGTCTAAATCAATAAAAAAATTTCTCGATAGATGGCATGCAATTAGACAGTATTGAATGTATTACAGTCATATTGCCTAATTATATGCCATTTTTCGCGAAACTTTTTACTCATTTAGACAAACCAAAAATATGACATGCAATTAGACAGTATCGAATGTATTACAGTCATATTGTCTAATTATATGCCATTTGTCGCGAAACTTTTTACTCATTTAAACAAACCAAAATATCTTATGCATTTAGAGATTATATGCAATTAGGCAGTATCGACTGTAGAATAAAGGATAACAAATTAAATTTTAACGTCAATCGCACCCACACATGTGTATATAATGGCATGAGTGAATTTGTATATTCGCTATAATCGCTCTTTTTTTCTTTTCTAACGACCAAAATATTATCACATTCCTTTATTCCCTTAGTAGTTTTTTCCTTTTATAAAGGAAAATCTATTTTTTATCGTTGAGATGTCTCAAGAATTTGGAAATTTCAGTGACATCGAACGTAAAAATGTCAGTTCGACAACTATTGTCGAATTTGAAAATTTCAATGACATCGAACGTAATAATGTCAGTTCGACAACTATTGCCGAATTTGAAAATTTCAGTGACATCGAACGTAATAATGTCAGTTCGACAACTATTGTCGAAGTTGATAATCCAATCAATTCCCCTTTGCATACAGCAAATGAATTATCCGATTCTAACACCATTAACACCACTAATAACGACATCGAAGATACCATTAAATTCGACAATAACATTTCCAAACATTTATCGATCTGGAGGAAGAGATTAATTCTCTTAATTGTCTCTATCGCTGCCATGATATCTCCAATGGCTGATACGTAGGTTTAGATTTATTATTTTTCCCTTTTGATTCCCTCTTTTTTTTAATCTAGTCGATTATCTTTATCAGCATCCTATATCCAGCACTTGTACAGATATGCTCAGACTTTCAAGCCCCCGAAATCTTTGTAAATGTCTTAGGTAATATTTTTATCAAATATGCTGTGGTTTAATTTGAGCTATTTAATCATAATTCAAATATTGTAAATATTGTGTAATAGCCTCTATATTTATATTTTTTATGGGGTTTGGTGTAAGTTTTTTCTTATTTATTAAAACTTAAACTTTTGATTAAATCATTTGTTAAAGTAATGGTTGTTTTTATTTAAAAATAGCAAATCGGTTGGGCCGCCTTCTCTGATACATTTGAAACTAGACGTAGAGTTTATTTAATATGCATGCCAT